AAAGGTGAGTGTAGGTAGGGAGTTAGGAAGGGGATAGGTCAGTCCAGGGAGGACGGACAGGTCAAGGGGGCGGGATGAGGTTGGTCGGTAGGAGATGGAGGTGCGGCTTGAGGTGGGAGGAGGGGATAGGTGGGAGGAAGAACAGGTTAGGGAGGCAGGGACGAGCTGGACTGGTTTTGGGATGCGGTGGGGGGAGGGGAGATTTTGAAACTTGTGAAATCCACATTGATACCATTGGGCTGCAGGGTTCCCAAGCGGAATATGAGTTGCTGTTCCTGCAACCTTCGGGTGGCATCGTTGTGGCACTGCAGGAGGCCCAGGATGGACATGTCGTCTGAGGAATGGGAGGGGGAGTTGAAATGGTTCGCGACTGGGAGGTGCAGTTGTTTGTTGCGAACCGAGCGTAGGTGTTCTGCAAAGCGGTCCCCTTGTGTTGCTGGAAGAACTGGATTATGACTACAAATTCATTTCTTTTTCAATCATCTGGAAGGTTTTTATCCTGGAATTTTTGGGCTAGATTGAAATCTTTATGCTGGAGATGATGTTCCCCTTTTCTATAAAGTCCCTTTCAATATTAATGAACTGGATTTTGCTCTCAGCAGTGAAGGAACAGTCAAGGTTTTTGCCATTCACCTCGTTGACAGTTGCCCAGAGAGCGGGTCTGAGGATATTTCCCCTAATCCACTGTCTCTTCTAGCATGATGCCTGTGAAAAGGGCAAGCAACAGCAAAACTCTTCAATCAATAGATTGAAGTATCCTCACTAAAGCACGTGGAATAAAGCAAGAAATATAAGTTACCATTTAATTGATGTAGAAAACGCAACATAATTTGGAAAATACGGGTGGGATTAAAAGAGGGAGATAAAAAGAGACAAAGTAAAACAATAAGTTTTATTTTCTTCTACAACAGTTATTTGCTTTGAGGTAATGGAAGTTTGCAATTGTAAGATTTATTTCTCAGAGCCAGTGAAGTTGTTCAGAAGTATTGATCAATTATTGTGCGATTAAAAACTAACTTACTCATAAATGCATCAGTCTAAACCTTTTTAGCTGTTTCTTAATGAATAGCTAGTGGGTGAGCCCCCCAAGTTATATTCTTGTAGATGTTTTTCAGGGAGCAATGTAACAACATACTTCTTGGAGAAACAGAGTATCTCTGAGAGCAACTTTTGAATTTTTCTTTGTGTAGGCTCATAGCCCTGCAGTTATTAATACACTAAAATCCAGCCATTATCAATATTAATTTTAACTTGGGTTTGAGGTGTAGCTTTTTTTTTTGCAAAAGAATCTTATTGCATTCCCATGATGTGAATTACAGATTCTTGACAGCAGTAACCCATTCCTTAATAATGGAATGTTCTTTTTTTGTTCATGCTTAGTCAACGCCAGCCTTGTTGTATATTTACTGTATTTTCTTCAAAGAAATCAAGAGCCAATTAGGAGAAAAATATTTGGCTCATTAAAGTTTCTTTCTCAATATGACCTAAATAAGTTAGATCTTTCTAAAATACAGTCCAAGCAGAAGAGCAAATATATTTTTAAAAATGATTAAGAAAAGAAATATTTTGTTAAATTTAATGATTAAAAAGAGTAATGATTTAAAACATTGTGGCTAGAAAAAAACTTGTCAGTTCAACATCTTAGCTAGACCCAGGAAAGACGAAACAGTTTTTTCAAAGGAAAGAAGGAAACACTTGTGTATTATAGTTGGATCTGCCCAGTACAGAATAGACACCTTGGAGACAAACAAACAGACAGATTAGGAACAGCAGTGATGAGCATTATGGTTAATTCAATTCTTGCATCATTAAAATTGTCATGTCACAGCTTTGAAATCCCAATCCTTTGGTTACTGAGTTTGTGATGTTACAGCCGTGTTACAATGTTGCAGTGCTGAGCAAGAACATAGTCATTCCTTGGAAGGAGGTTGTTGTAATCAATTGACCTTCCTGTTGTTAACTCTTCAGTATAGTGTAACAGCTGTTTAAATATATTAACGAAATTGCCCTTCAGAATCTGTCATTGTTTATGGTGTTAATCCAAATAAGTGATTTTGTTATGACCTTATAATGTAACCAGCACCTCTATTTAAATTGACAAGTTCTACTGAGTAGTTTTATACTTTTTAATCCTGTGAAAAACACATTGAAAGGACATGA